ATTATCTGCATGTGTGGGTGATCTTGTAGATATGCCCTCTCTTCTTATTTGCTGGACACTTCACCCTCCACTCCAGTCCTCCATGGCTATGTCACTGGCTCTGGGCCCCACAGTCCCCACACTGCTGGCCAACCAGGTCTCCACCTGGGTTCACAGGAGTGAGTTTATTGACCATTGTAGCTGTTTTTCCCTCTCTTCCCCTTGTCGGTGGCAAACGAGGTCACCCATCAGAGTGTGTATTCCCATTGAGTCTTAGTCTTGGAAGGGTGTTTACTCTGAGGGGACCCAACCCCTTGCCTTGATGTTTCCCGTGCGAGCAACTTGCTTGTTCTTGTCATTGGTCAGTCTGTTTTGTGTTTTTCCTGTCAGTCTTTCTTTCAAAAGGTATCTTCTGTTCTTCTAGCTGTTCCAGGTGGGTCTGCCCATCCTCTCAGGGGGATATTTCCCACCTCTGAAGATTCTGGATGCTGTTCAGGATTCCACCTATAGTCTTATATAATGCAGAGGCTCCGCAGGAAGCCTCCTTTACTGGGCACATTGTATCCCCATTTTAGGTATTCCTATCAGTTATAGGCAGAAGACGGACTTACAGGCTTTCCATGGTGATATTTCTGGCTTTTCCTTTCTCTCACCTTCCAGTGTCTATTTTATAATGTAATGCAAGGAGTACCAAGATTCAAAAGACAGCCATGCATCTTAACATTATTTACCCCCTTTTCCGTATTCCAACCATATCTCAATCTGTGTACCCCAGAGCCCTGTTGTTCCAAGATTGTGTATACATTATTATTTACCTCTGTCCCACTTAGCCCATGCTAGCCTGCCTACTTGTTCTCCCCTCTGCTTTGTTCTTCCATTCCCCTCTCCCCTTTTGTGTATTGTCCCACTCCTCAGCACCCTAACTAACCTGTGTCTATTCCCTGCCCCATGCTCTACATTTGCATCCCTCCCCTCATCCTACCCCCTACATCCCAGCGATCAGCCCCCTTTAGTAATGGGTTCTTTTTCTTAGTCTTTTACAGTAGTGGCCTTATGCAGTATTTCTCTTTTTGTGACTGACTAATTTCACTCAGCATAATGCCCTCAAGGTTAAACTGTTAACTGGTGGTTTGCAGCTTGCTTGTTATTCTTCAAGGTAGCATATAGTATTCCATTGTGTGTATATACCACAGTTTATCCATTCTTCAGTTGATGGGCACTTTGGCTGTCTCCATCTCTTTACTATTGTAAATAGTGCTGCTATGAACATTGGTGTGCATATATCTTCTCTTGTTGT